CCCCCCCCCCCCCCCCCTCCTCTGGCCAGAGGTCACTGATAAACTTGGTAGGACAGACCAAAATCAGATCCCATAGCATGATTGTGAATCAGTTCTAGTTCCCATTACCCTAGTGGCAAACTAAGTGTCTTGTTTTGTATCATTTACTTAAAATACTATTGTCAAGCAAACATAAACATTTTACTTTCTGTGTCTGTGCTCTGCATCCACTGCTCTTCAATGACTACATCAGTCATTCTAAGTTGGTGCATCTGCTGGACCATTAGTTGTGAGAAAGAGAAAAGATACGCTCACAAACCCAACTCTTCTCCTACATCTCCTAGCTTATTACAGAACTGACTGCAAGTATGCTCTTCATTTTTACTTTTAGCCCCATGTGTTAGAATGATGAGGGGCTTTTTTGCTTATGCAAGAATCTAGTTTTTGGATTCTACAAAGGCAATTAGGAAAAACCCACACCTTAACCATGGCACTGACTGACTTGAATTCTACATGCAAATTGGTTTGGTTTGGGTTTTTTTAACTAAACCAAGAGGGAAGGAAGAAAATTCCTTTCCCTATAAAGCCATGGTGACAGTTTCAATTAAACTGTGCAAGAAAGCCTAGATGCATTACTAAAAAAGGACCACGTCCCTTCAGCTCTATGCCTTCAAAATCTGTCGTGTCCAGTATGACTATGCTTCAAATCTGCAACAGCTTTGCTTTTGGTTAAGTGGTGGGAAACACTATCTTTCCCACCTCTGCCAATAACCTGCTGTATGACTGTAGCTTAACTATTCTGTTGGTCTCTGAACACTCTTTCTCCCTCTCAAAATTCAGTCTATGTCCTTCCAAATTCTTTCATTCAGAGATTTTGCCCCAAAACCCAAACAAACATTGTTTGCAATAGTGAGGACAGTTGTCTTTAACCTCAGGTTGGGCCTTCCAACTCTCTGCTTTAGAAGATTTACTACAAATGATAGACTAGCTGACTAGGACAACATTACCTTAGTCTGGCTGGTAAACATACATCATATTCTTTATGCTAAATTGTTCTTATTATCAGAGATTAACGAGATAAAGGAGTTCATATTCAGAGACTTACCTGTGTCATTGCCGATACAGTCTATTATCAGGCATATTCCTAAAGGTTGACTTTGCATTCTGTACTGATCATCAAACACCTGAGGAACATAAAGGACAAATACTAAGTTAACATGTCAAATGCTCAACTCACAGACTTGATTATTTTCTTAAATTTAACCACCTCAGATCTTTTGAATTATATGTTGTTTTTCCAGAGTAGCTAGCAGAAGTCTATCTACTGGGATGTAGTATGTCTTATCTACACAACAAAACTAAAAAAATCAGGAGACCTGGACTAATGATTTTTTCCCTTATTTCTTGTATAGGCTTAATTTTTGCATCCTTGTGTTATGCAATCTTAGTACCGTAATAATCCTTAAGGATTATTAAAGGCTAAGACTGTATCAAAAATGAGAGAAGCAAGTTTGAGACTGAACCTTAACTCTGGACAGATCTTCAAAAGTAAAAAAAAAAAAAAAAAAAAAAAACAGCTGTATGGGGTGGAGAGGCTTTTTAAAGACCTAGACTATGACAGCAATGATCCTTCTATAGTACTTCAGAATTAATTTCCTTAAGTGTAACTTTTATTGACATATGGGGAGCTATAAACTTCACAGTGCCAGCACAATAAGTGTAGAGAACTTCTGTGTTCTTCAGGTGTGCAAGCAAGCACAGCTCATCAGAACAACATTTCTTTCCTTATTTAGTGGAACAACCTCCTAAATAATCTGTAATGACTCTTACCACAACTCCCTTCCTCTTTAAAAAGATTACAATCAATTTGCTATAGGTAACTACCTGATTCCTGACTTACAGAAAAGTTAGTGAAAATAGCAGTAGTCTATTCTTATCATTAATACCCAAAGCATGTATCTCTTCTACCCGGAGAGCAAGGAACAGAAAGAGAATAAAGAACAAAATTTACTGCATGCAGAGAAGCCCTGCAATTTCTAATGTAGATGGCAAGAGGTCTGACTTCCAACAGGTCTTCACTTAGCCTCTACTAATAACATGTACATTCATTTTGCACACTGCTGCTTCCAGAATATCAGCAAGTACTTCACATTACAAATATATTGTGAAAAGGCAGAACAAAACCTGTTTATGGCTGAGGAACATATGGAAGTACATGTTGTTCTGTCTGCATGCAATTAAAGGAAATCTCAAAACGAAACACAAAGAAAACTAAGGTAAATACCTGCAGAGGTTTTTATTCTACTTACATGCATACATATGCACATACCTTATGTGACACTGGTCCTGATTCCTGAATGGACATGTGGATTGGTTCTGCTGTAGTTAGAACATACAGAAGTAATCTCAGTATGTGAGTACCAGTGACAGTTCTTTGACACAAAATCAATTAAAGAACCTACCTAGTTCAGCCAAGTTCCTACTCATCTGGACCTCTTAGTTTCCATGTACATTACTGAAGTTAAAAAAAACCCCAATTTTTCACCTCTAAAATGTTATTTGGATTGCTTTCCACACTGCTTGTGACTAGAATAAACAAAGGAACAATCAGTGTCTCTCATACTGAGAGATTTCAGCCAACTACTCTTTAAAAAATAACCATATTTGAGAGGTATTTTGGGTTTCCAGAAAGAATATAACACACATGGTAAGAACCTGGTACTCACCAGACATCTTCCTGGCTGGCCTGTTGGAGAGTTCACCACTAAACTGGCACAAAAACTTCCTATTCAAGACTTAATGGGCACAGCTGCACTACACAGGTCTCCAGAGCTGGCTAGCCAACATTTTCCATGGTTTTATTAATAAACTATTTTTTCTGTTAAAACATTGTGACAGTGGAAGCCCACAACAATTTCAATAAAGTTCTAAGATCTAAGAAACAAAGCAAATACAAGAGCAAATAATGAGGCAAGGCTCCATTTTCAGAGCTACTAAATACTCTCTGGTCCTGCTGTTATCAACTGGATCAGCCATAAACACCATTATCATAAACAAGAGGAGAATAAACAAAAGGGAATAAACAAGATGGGCTAGAGACATGCACACACCTACAGGGCTGCGATCTTACTGGCATCATGGAGATGTGATGGGATCGCTCCTATGACTGGAGTGTGGGAATGGAAGGAGACAGGCTCTTTAGGAAAGACAGGCAGGGGAGATGAGGAGAGGGGCTCATTTGCTATGTCAGTGACCAGCTGGAGTGCCCAGAGACATGCCTGGAGATGGATGAGGAGCTGACCGAGAGCTTATGGGTCAGGATTAAAAAGAAGGCAGGGACAAGAGATGCTATAGTGGGCTATGAATGCCCCCATTTTGTGGTCACTGCAGCCCAGGCTGCCCCTGCACTTTCACACTCCCCACAAGTGCCTTCTTGTTGGTAAGAACAAGGTCCAGCACAGCACCTCTTCTTGTTGGCTCCTCTATCACTTGGAGAAGGAAGTTACTTACCATCAACATGTTCCAGGAACCTCCTGGATTGCTTATGCACTCTAGACCACCCAACCAGGAAGACTGAGGGAGTTAAGCCCTCTACAGACAGGTAGGTGCAGCCTCACGTTCGCAAGCCCTGGTCCTCCTGGCACACTTCAACCTCTGATACCTTCTAGAGTGCATAAGAAGGAAGAACCAGCCACTGTAGAAGATCAGATTCAAGACCATCTAAGGACTCTGAAGGTGCCCAAGTCCATGGGACCTGATGAGATGCATCTCTGAGTCCTGAGGGAACTGGCAGATGAAGTGGCTAAGCCACTATCCATTGTATGTGAGTAAGTCATGGTGGTCCAGTGAAGTTCCCACTGACTGGAAAAGGGGAAACATAACCCCATTTTTAAAAATGAAAAAAAGGAAGACCCAGGGAACTACAAGCTAGTCAGTCTCACTTCTGTGCCCAGCAAGATCATGAAGCAGATTCTCCTGGAAACTGTGCCCGGGCATGTGGAAAATACGGAGGTGATTGGTGGCACCCAAAAAGGCCTCACCGGGGGCAAATCATGCCAGACAAAGTTAGTGGCCTTCTATGACACGGTTACAGCACTGGTGGATAAGGGAAGAGCAACTGATGTCATCCACCTGGATTGTTCAAAGCTTCTGACACTGCCCCACACGACATATTTGTCTTGAAAGTGGAGAGACACAGGTTTGAAGGATGGACACTCAGTGGATAAGGAATTGGCTGGATGGTCACACTCAAAAGAGTTGTGGTCAACAGCTCGATGTCCAAGAGGAGAACATTTACAAATGGGATTCCCTCAGCATTCTGTGCTGGTACTGGTGCTGTTTAACATCTCTGTTGGCAACATGAACAGTGGGGTTCAGTGCACCCTCAGCAAGTTTGCCAACGATACCAAGATGTGTGATGCAGTTGACATGCTGGAGGGAAGGGAAGTGCCATCCAGAGGGACCTGGACAGGCTGGAGAGCTGGAACCATGCAAATCTCATGAAGTTCAACAAGGCCAAGTGCAAGGTCCTACACATGGGTCGGGGCAATCCCAAGCACAAATACAGGTCAGACAAGGAGCAGAATGAGAGCAGCCCTGCAGAGAAGGACTTTGGGGTATTAGTGGATGGAAAACTGACTGAACCAGCAATGTGCGCTCACAGCCTAGAAAGCCAACCATGTTCTGGGCTGCATCAAGAGAAGTGTGGCCAGCAGGGCAAGGGAGGTGATTCTCCCCCTCTACTCCACTCTCATGAGACCCCACCTGCAGTGCTGTGTCCAGCTCTGGGGCCCCAACATAAGGAGGACATGGACCTGCTTGAGCGGGTCCATAGGAAGCCTTGAAGATAATCAGGGGGCTGGAGCACCTCCCCTGTGAGGACAGGCTGAGAGAGTTGGGGTTGTTCATCCCAGAGAAGAGAAGGCTCCAGGGAGACCCTACAGTGGCCTTCCAGTACTGAAAGGGGCTACAGAAAAGATGGGGGGGGACTCTGCGTCAGGGAGTATAGGCATAGGACAAGGGGTAACGGTTTTAAACTGAAAGAGGGCAGATTTAGATTAGATGCAAGGAAGAAACTCTTCCTGTGAGGGTGGTGACACACCGGCACAGGTTTCCCAGAGCAGCTGTGGCTGCCCCCTCCCTGGCAGTGTTCAAGGCCAGGTTGGACGGGGCTTTGAGCAACCTCGTCTAGTGGAAGGGGTCCCTGCCCATGACAAGGGGGATGTAACTAAACCTTAAGAACCCTTCCAACCCAAAACATTCCACGATTCTATCAAACAATGAAATTTATCACGTGGCTCTTTCAAATTATCAAACTGCTCTTACCCAGAATAAAACTTTGTCCAGTCTGTGATTCTTCTTTGTTCACATTCTGGATCTAAAAATGAAAAAAAGTTCTATTTTCTCCTCTCTCCTTCAAGAATGAATAATTGTGTGCCGCACAATATAACACAACAGTATTTTTCTTCCTCAATAAAATGATTATATATTTTAGATTCACATCTATCAGCTAATTAGTATTACAAAATAACAAGTAAAACCCCCCTAACAAAAATCATAAACAACCCCCTCAAAACCATTCCCTTTCAGAAAAAAGTTACCAGCTTGCCCTGAACAGCAACGAAAGGCTTATTCCATAATGTAGTAAAACAATAAAAACCGTCTGAAGATGTGAATTTTGTTTCCTGTAAGAGCAGCAGGGAGGAACTGCCACTGAATTAGAAAGTAAATTATAACAATATTATAACAATATGGCAAGTCAGTGAAAACTCTTTCCCATTAGTAGTGTGGAAAATAAAGCTGTTGTGGCTTTATTAGTAAAGACAAATTGCATCACTGGTGTCTTATATGTAAGCTTTATACATACATATTTACTCAACACATGACAGAAATAATCTCATCAAATACATTTAGCAAGGCCAAAGACTTTATTAAGCTCATACTATTCCAGACCTAACCCAAACATAAAGACAAAACCCACCAAAAAACTTACAAAAAGCTGTTCTTAAAAAGCCATACCTTCTGCTTCTAAAGTTAAAAAGCTACTTTCCCTGCAAAGTCCTGAAGTATGAAGAACAGTATGTATTGCAAAGAACAGTCAAAACTTTTCACTCCCCAGAGGAGTAAAAAAACCTTTCAAGATACAGTTTTTGTAGATATTTCCAATTAATAGGAAAAAATGCCCAGAAGCTCTTTAAAGGGGATCTTTCTCAGACATAAGATTTAAATCAGACCCTAAACCCAGCAAATAGGAATATGAGAAATAAACCAAGAAATATTTTAGTTACTAGAAATCTCTCATTCCTTAGGCTCTGCAAAGATGAATCCCCTTTCAATGTCTGGCAATATTTAGAAAGAATCTGTCTGATTTATTGTATACTTACCCCTGAATTATAAGGAGGATCGATCAGACTGAGATTAGGGAGAGATGCCTGAAGTGCATTTACATATACTGGCTGAGAATGACCAGAGGACATTAAAGCTGAAAATTTAACAGAAACACACAGAAAAATACACCATGATACATCAGCTGTTTTAAAAGCCTAAATCCATGAAGCATACAAATACTCTGACTTGTAACTCATTATTTTATTTTCAGTAAGATCCTTGCTATCAAAAGTAACCAGTGTAAAAATAGCATCTTACCTTCGTGTCTGAATTTCTGAATCTTCCTAATCAGGTCTACCCTGTGAATATTTCGAAAACAATTTTCCAGCAAATCCAGTTGATTAGGAGCCACCAAATTTAGTTTCTCCAGGTCAATCACAAGAGCTAGAAAACTCTAGAATAGCAACAGAAAAACAAACTGTCATATCAGTAATTTGTTCTCTATCAGTAACAAAGCAAACCAGAAAATAATGTGGGGAGGTCATAAAGGTTGCATATTCAAGAAGTAGGGTCATGAGATTCTGAAACACTAAGAAAATTATCTGGAAGATATAAGAATTCTTGGTATTATCATAGGAATAATGGAAACTAGAAAGAGATATTCTTAAAAGCAAAAATTTTGAGGAAACAGTTTTTCACTTCCTTCTTGCTACAAAGCCAGCCACTTGGAATGTCATCTCACATGTGCAAAGGAAGAGGTAAGAAAAGCTTTGGGGAATTTGCAGGGCCTCTCTCCCCCTTTGGTTAAAGAGAAAAAGAAAAAACCTCAAAGGAAGAATACAGAAATCTTCAGCCTTCTATGCACAGTGGTGAAGTTTTCTGAACCCTCTCTACCGAATCTCTGCTTTCTCAGAGCACTTTAAACAAATATTCAGAGTGCAGATGTACAGAGAAAGACATAATTAAAATAAACCTTTTCTGAGTGAAGCAGAGCACAAACACAAAATATGACCTTGCAATTCAAGATACATTTCATATGAGTATGGGTTTGAGATCCTTCATATATGAATTTTCAGATCAGTAATACTGAAAACAGTTGTTTGGTTTTTTTTTTTAATGCCTGTGAGATTCATTCTAACACCATTCACTACAGCAAACCTCCACTGTTCCCTCTTACTGTTTCTTATGCTTCTTTTCTTGAATTAAAAAACAAAATATGAAACAGAAGCCACTACTCCTTCCTGACTTCTGTATACTCCTGCCTCACTACCCCTTGCAGTACTGTTTCCCCTCCTTTGCTGTCTAGCTACTTTTCTTTTTACTTCAATCTCTCATTGCTTCAGAGAAGACCAGTAGAAAAACATACCTTATCTTTTACCATTTTCATACGAGGTGCATAATCTCTGAGTAGAAAAACAAGAGAACTCACTTCTTCTTTTTCCAGATTTTCATTAATCTCTACCATTAGTACCCTGAAATAAAAGTTGAGACATTTCTAACGGACTAGCTTTCAGCAAGATTCTACCCTTGTCCAACTACCCAACTTCTCCCATCTTCCAGTCTTAATGTGCCATTCCCAATTAAACAACAGAAAAAAAAGCCTACCCTACTCAAAGATCCAATTACAAACTCTTGCTTATCAGCACCTGTGTTTAGACCGACTGTAATAGCCACTGCTAGGAAAACAGAAGTCTCCTTAGTATCTCAAGAGATGGAGATAATGAGACAACAAAACACATCTTTAACTTTTTTACCTAGTAGTTACAGGGTTTTTATTTCAGTGAGAAGGTAACACAGGAAAATCTTCCTTATGAGTACATATATTTCTTTCTGAAGTCTCTCAAAGAAGGTAACTGGAGCTTCTTAGTTTAAGCCTCTTAAAGCTACAGAATAAAAAGTAGTAAGAGAGAGTTCCCCTGAGAAAAGCTGTACCACAAGGCTATGTGCCCAAAGCAAACTAGAAAGGAAAATAGCTCCAATTCATGATGTTCATCCTTTCTGTCTGCTAATCTAGAACATCACTGGTTTTATTAACACACACAAACTCCTTAAAGACAGATGCTTCTAATGCCATGACTTGTAAGAAGCTTCTAAGGCTTATTTTAGGGACTAAACTTGACATATTCTTCTCATTATAACTCTAGATACAATGCCCTTTTCTGCTTTTCTTTTACCTTCCAGACCTATTTAAAAAAGAAACAAAACCCACCACTTCCCACCCCCCAAACAACTCACACACATTTTGAAAACAGAGTAGCCTTGAAATCTGAAATAAATATATTACCTGTAATCAGAGACAAGTCTGAGACTCCTGGCAAGGTTAGCTTCCACTGTGGCTTTCTCAGTCTTCAAGATTCTCCTCAGCAAGTCAAACCTCTTAACTCTGTACAACAGCTCAGACAAGCCAAGAAAAGACAATTTCTCCCTTTCATTCAAAGCCACCAAGAGCTCTCTAAGGTCAGCAGTGGCCAAGTCAGGAGCAAGGTCTCTGCACAGGAAAACCACCATCTCTTCTTCGTCTTTATCCAATTCTTGTTCAATCTGGTGAATAAGGACAGCTGGCACTTGGCACCTGGTCATCACTTTGTTGCTGTCCCTTTAAAATTGACAGCCTCCTGTTTTTTAAACAGGAAGCCAACATGAAATGAAGCCCATGTCTACCACAGCACTTCTCTGGTGTTCATTCTTAACTAGATGCCTTTTTACATAAGCAGTTCTGTGGGAGAGAATGAAAAGTTACTAGATCAGTGATATGCTGTACAAGTTTGCAGTTAACTCTTCCATTTGATGTATTTCACTTGCAACTAAAACACCAACGTAGTCTATGCAGACCTCCTGTTCTCAAGGGGTTCTCCCAGCTGTTCATTACAGAACAAAAAATACTTGGTAGGTCATACTAATCAGAAAAAATTTAAGTTATTTTTAAAGTAAAATTACCTTAACACAAGTCTGTAAATTCTGTAGGAAGTGAAACAAAAGTCATCAGCTTGCTGATGAGTGATATTTCAAGTGATTCTGAAAACAGGAGTTAAGTTCCACAGCAACTTAGGTCTAAAGCTCTGACTTTTTCCCAGCAACCCTCCACCTCCCAGCTCACCACCACCAATCTTCCCTAAAAGTCTCAAGGCATTTTCAACAAGATTTTTGGGAGCTAAGAGGTAGTGTAATCACACACTGTAGACAAAAGAGTTAAAAAACCCCACATATAAACCCACTACTATCAGGCACACACTTTCCCTTAAATGAAACAAAAATAAAGGGAATATTCACAATGTAACATGTAATATTTAAAAATATTATCTATAAATTCAGGAATGTGTGGATTTTCTTCCTTATTAGCATCATTTAAAGGGACTCCAATCTAAGTGACTTGGGTTTTAAGGATTCTACACACACACCACCCTCCATGCTCAGAAAGATCAAAGAACCACACAAAGAAAACATTCCAACCTTAGGGATGCAAACTGGTTAATTTTGCAGGTATAAGATAAGCCATAGGTCACCTTTTTCTTCATGTGACATTCATGTTTCACCACACTGAAAACTGAAATAAAATTGAAAACCTAGAAAAAAACCCACTCTTGTGATGAACAAAATAAGTAGAGTGCTCTGGTCAACTTCTGCTGTCACCAGCTATGGCAATTCTATTTAACCTTCTCTGATCCCCATTACATGGAGAAGGGTGAAATGAGCAACCTGAAAACAAATCTTAGCCCTTACAAGGAGTTCAGTCACTATACTGCATAGTTTTGTTTAAACCATTCTGAAAAGAAAAAGCCAATTTGACTTCAAAGCCTAATACAGTGAAACATTCTAGCACCTGGATAATATCTTTTAAAGCAGTTTCAGCATTTTGTTGCCATCAAAAATGTCAGATATTTTGTCCATGCATTAAGAAGATGAGAGATACTCATATATAAGCTTTTTTTCCCCCAACCCAATACTGTTTAAATGCAAAATAACTCCATATATCCACCCGACTTTCCTCAAAAGGGGAGTAAGAGTTGGATTTGATTAAACCCATGGATTGGGTTCCCACTGCTCACTAAAAGAGCATATCAAATTCAAGTTCCTAGGGAAAAGTCTCCTTTATCTTCATCTATCCCAGTGAGACGTATTTTCTAAGGAGTCAAAGATTGCAGTGGCTTTCTCCTCCATCACTGTTGCTGACAGTCAGAATAAGAAGTCATCAGTATTTTGAAAATAAAGTCACTGTTAATCTTGTCGATAGCATGTCTGAATCACCAGAGGATTTTAACACAAGTAACTGCTATGACCACAAGGTCCCAACTTCAGAAGCAAAACAGAAAGGGGAGGTAAGGAAGGGCAGTACAGGCAAGCTGTAAAATATCTTAAATCCACCACACCAGGAGATTCAAGTATTACTTAGCTTAAGTACTCCTGCACTTCCAGATCACAGTGTAAACGAGACCAGAGAGTCCTCAAAATGTCACTGAGGCCACTTGGGCTCATTTTCAGAAGTGTATTCAACTGCAGCTGACAGTAACACCGCTGCAGATACCCTGCTTAGCCCATCGCAGCCTCCTATGTGCGTTCTACATAGACTCCACTAAACACCTAGAGAAAACGTACAATTATACTACTCCTGCTACAGCACACAACCAGAAAAAAGCAACACCTGTCCTCTCTGATACAGTTCTGTTCTTCAGAACCCAAAAGGGACAGGCACAAACACAGTGTCTTCCCTTATCACATCACACCATTTGGGAACTTCAGAGAATTAAATGCACTGTTTGCTCTAAGAAGTGCAACAACATTTAACCCAAATTTAACCCAACAGTGCGAACAGCAAAAAAACTCTCAAACAGAGAAGAAACACCAGTAGAAGCTGCCCTTCTCAAATGCCCAGGTCCACAGTATTTTTAATATAACAAGCTGAAAAGTTTTGTTTCCAACAAAACCAAACTGGGTAGACAAAGTATTTGTACTTTTGAACCTATTCTATTTTACACATGGACCTGCAATGCTATCACTTGTATAGCTGGCGTGGAAGGGCGGGGGGTGAAATTTTCAGGCCTCTGATAAGCAGAGGAAACGCTCATGTACTGGCTTGTGTTTTATACAGTTTTCTATCAGAGGAAAAGCATATTTATTGTACTTCTTAAGTACTTCTTATTTTCAATCTAGCATCAAATATTAGTGAGAATTCTATGGAAGGACAAAGACAGTTTTCAAGACATAATGCAGTCAAGAAGGGGGAGGCACAAAACACACTCATATGAAATCATCTCCCACAAAGCACACTCATATGAAATCATCTCCCATGTACATACAGCTGGGACTTTCAAAAGAGCTTGAGGAAGTCATATTTATGACTCACTCTAAAGGGAGAAGGGAATTTAACAACTTTTGACCATTTTCAGAAATCACAGATAAACTTTTTTAAAAAAACCACTCCAATTGATTTTTATCTAATCTTTTAAAACTAGTTTAAAAAAAGAGAGGGTATGTGGTAGGAAGCTATTTCCTACAGAGTTAGCATTTCAGACATGCAAAATTACTACTTATATGTTATCTTAAAAATAATTTGCCTTTAAAAAAGCACATATGAATTATTTATTTTTGTGAACTTCCTTTATATAAAATAAATCATGTACTCATTATAAAAAAATACGATCAATACTTCTAGTGTTGAAACTCTCTTACCTGCATGCAAGTCTGTCCACAAGTACATTGGAATACTGGTATTTGACCATTGCCAAATCACTGATCCAGATCCAGCATTAGTTTCCATCCAGTATTTTCCAATGATCGTCCATAGACAAAGTTGATTACATCAACTCATTTTCTGTTGGACAAAAATCAACATCACAAATTACTGCTGGGGGCTACTTCCCAATTTCAGTGGGAGAAAAAACAAGGAAAAATGACCTAGGATCATGCATTCTTCCGTATGATTCCAGTGGTCCGGTGAACCAGAAATGATGCTCCCAATAAAAGGAAAAACAACTGCGCACATACAGTGATGTGTCAGTAACGTTAATATCCCCAGGGTTCTGAGTGGGGAACGAGTAAGAGCAACGTGAAGAGTTCTGTATAAACTAAAAAAGTTTATAACTTGTATCCAAAAACCATGTCCCATATTTTGATAGAAGAAATGTCACACTACTGGGACAAGCCCAATACATTCCACCTGAGCCAGACCCACTTCATGATGAAAGGTGAAAGGCATCATGCTTCACCCTTCCTTCTGATACCATCACCACTTCTGCAAATGTCACAGATACAGTTATCATAGCTACAACAATTAAAGAGAAAAGCCAAGACAATGTAAAACCCAGCATTCTAGCTTTCAATTTAATTACCTGGGGTCTGCAATGAGAAGAGTTATTGAATGGAAATTCTTTACAAAGAAGAGAGGAAAACCAGCTTATTATCTCAAGAGGGAAAAAAAGTTCATACTCTTCAGAGATAAAGCCGTCCCAATAATTTATGTGTTCATTTGCATGTGTAATTTGCCAATATTGTTTCAAGAAAACACTCAAGATTTTCCTCGTCAGTTCAGTGTTTCATGGACTGAGTAAAGATTTCAACGCAAAGCTTATGGAGCAGGAAGATGGTTGAAAAAATAAACTTCTTTTAGTTTCTTCTCATTCATATTCCTGATTTGTAAGAAATCCAGAATAACTCCAAATAGCTGAAGTCTAATACAACCACCACCACTGACAGATAAAAGAATACTGCAAGATCATGTCAGTAACATTAGGAGCAATGAGTTAAAGGGGCAGGCTTACACACAGAACAAGATCTCTTTTCCTCCTGTATTCAAAACCCTAGGAAAACCCCTGGCACGGTGAAGGAAAGTGACCGATGAAGGGAGTTTTCTAGAAGTCTGGCTATTTGAGGTCACTATTACCCCAAACTTTCACATATGAAGGGTTCTTCTGGGAAATAGTCTGCTAAGAAAATCATCAATTCTAGGCTGACTCATCTGTCCTCCTGTCCCCAAAATAAGTCTGAGAGATCAAAGAGATTATACTAAAGTGCACTTAAAGTTTCCGGTTTAGTTAATTTTCAGACTTTCCTGAACAAAGTGTACAATTTTAAAGCTGATTAATTTCTCACATAGTGCACAGGAAACCACATTTGTCACTGGCGTATTTGTCTAAGTCTGTACTGACTTTTGACCCTGGGTATTATACTGTAAACAATGTTCACAAGAAAAAATTTAAGGTAAAACACCTGAGGATATTAGCAAGAATATTTACTCCTCAGACCACACAGAACAGGCAAAAACCCATCCCTAAGTTCATTAGCTTCTATGAAGCTAATAAAAGTTAATTATACTCCTATTTTTGAACTATTGCACGCTGCCCCCAGTCCATACAGAATATAATCAAAATCAGGAATAGCTACTTCCCCCCCTCTACCGGGGAGCAGGAAGTAACAACATACTAGAACTTCCCACATAAAGACACACAAGGCTCCAAGTAACACCCTGCTGGCATTCACAAGTGGAGGCTGATAAGCATGGACAATGTTCAAGCAATTTTACTCTTTGCTGTTTAATACCATGAATGAAGCCCTTGTTCCCATGATTGCAACACAAATCCTGCAGAATATACAAATACCAATGTGATTATCAAGGCAGAGTCCTGTATTAACAATGATAAGTGAACATATCTGGCCTCATATTAAGAGGGAAAGTCTTTCAAGAGAAGCAGGGAAACATTTCACGCTCTAAACATGGCCTACAATCGGAGTCTGTCATTTCTGACAGCATTTGTTTCTTCAACATTTCACAACCATCTCTGCAGCAGCTAAAACAGGATATAACATGAGTGGGTGTAGTTCCGATTTGGAAAATGACCTTTCTTTCACAAGATGAGCTCATGTGGAAGCCCCTACGCTAGAGGAGAGAGTAGGAAGTTAGTTTGCTACTGGGAGGACTAGTGCTTACTCTGTTCTGCTTTATTTGAAGAGATACAAATAGTGAAACCACACAAAGGTAACTGAATTTTGAATCTGTATCATCTGACATTTTTCAAAGTGTTGAATCGTTTGGAGCCTGCTCCACAGCTTTCACATTTCCCTATAAAAGCAAGATTTAGTACAAGACACTTAGAGAAAACAGGGAAATCTTGCAATAGTTGTCACATTTCTAATTCTCACTACGGTATTACATTAGTTTGTTCAGGTGCAAACTAGCAGTGACCGTGCTGATTTCCATTTAGATATTCACTAGTTTAACACCCCAGTCCTCCTCATCAAAAATACAAACTAAAACTGGTTTTACCGTAGGGAGTTTACACAGGTCTCCCCACAACTTTCTAACTACATCATTTTAAATCACACCCGGAAAACAAAGCGAGAGGAAACTCCGCTCTGCAAGACAGAAGTTTCAGACGGATGGCCCATGTCGGGTTCTGGTTTTCCTCACGAGCAAGGTCGGGCTCAGGCCCTACTTGCGCCAGACACTCCTGCTCTCCGCACCCCAGCTCAGCCCGCCTCCGCGGTGAGGACCGGGCCTATACAGGGAAAAGGACCCGATCACGGAGCACAGTGTGTTAGGGCGCCTATACTGGAGATGCAGAGCGAGGAGAGAGATGCGAGGTAAAGGAAAAAGGTAAAGGTGTAACGCACCCAAACGCGCCGGGGAAGTCTCATCTACAGCAGCGGGGCCACGTCCGGCACTGGGAGCAGGGAGGAGAAGGGGGCGGTACCGGCCTAGCAACAGGCTCCCTAGCACCAGGCGTGGTTTCGAGTATCACTTCTCTTTCACATCAGTAAGGCACGCAGAGCGCTTTTCGCTCGTACTTCTTAGGGCTGCTGGAGAGACCTGAGCCGCCTCTACGCACAAATACCAACGCTGTTTAAGGCAGAGGTCTCCCCTCGCTGAGGGACTCGGGAACTGACTTTATCCGCCTTCCCATCATTATACATCTTCCGAGCCACATTCGCTAACCCTGACGATTTTATCGTGAGTCGTGCCGTTAGGTGTTTTAGGGCGAAGTGAGGGAAGAATTGTGCTTTTCGTTTCGCTTTATAGTCTACCTCAAGAGATGAAATTCGAAACTGCGCAAATAAGCCTGTCCCGCTCCCACAAGATGGCGGCGGCGCTGTGGCGGGAGGGGCGTCTCCTGCGCGCAACTTTCCGCCGGCGCTTGTGAGTGTCGGTCACGCACAAAATGGCTTCCGACCCGCTGGGGCGCTGGGGGTGCTGTGAGGAGGGCGGGTTGGCAGTAGTGTGCTTTTGAGTTCAGTATGTTTATGGGACTATGCTTTTTGTGTTATTGCTGGGACGAGGGTAGACAAAGCAGCTTTGTAGTGGCCCCAGTAGCCCTTGACTAGTAAGTGGCCGTTTTTCAGCAAGCAATTACAGACTCGCGGTAAGCGTGGGCATGTGTTTTGGCAGGTGTTTATGCATAAGTAAGCCCTTACATGGTTCACGTCTTACTCTACCACTCTTGAGTTTGTTCATAGGATAATATTGTATAGGTGTGCAAAAGTTGTGTGCTTCTCACTGTATGATCTTCAGCAAATTTTAAGTAATGCCTTGTCCCAGTAAAATGGGTGTCGTTCTGTTAGTATAAACCAGCAGCTTCTGTGAGATGACTTACTCAGATGCTGGTGGTGTGGCTGGACCTTCTCTCTTAAAGGCCTAAAAGCTAAGAATCAGGGCTATTTGAAAGCTGAAATAGACAAAACCCACTTCCATATGTGGTGGAATTAGACACAGCTCAGTGGATTTCAGAGCATTTATGAAACATTTATTTATGCTGCTAAAAATAAAGCAGTGGAAGCACAGTACTCTGGGATAGCCCGCTGTTGTTCAGAGTCACACTGACTTTTGGAAGTAATCGCCCACACTAGAATTTGGTCAGGGACCAAGTAACTTCTCTGTGTTCTGGAAAAAATATCTGGATTCTTACTGAAATTGTAGGTCAGGCACTCATTTTAATACCAATCATTCAAGAGTATTGCAGTATCCCTGCTACTAAGATGTAGCATTGAATCAGTGCTGGTTCAGCAGGAAGCCAGCTACCTGCTGTGAATTAATATGCAGGCTTTCTTCTTTGATTTATTCCATACAAACATGAACACTTCTACTGGCTAATAGAAAAGGTTTAAGGAAATGGTATGGCTGTAGGCTTGTGAATTTTTCTTTTCAAAAAAATGCATGAATGAATGATTTACTGATTTAACACAGCTACTACTTAAGCGCCCAATACACTGTTTTGTTTACTTAGTTCACTTTTTCCTTAATTTACCTAATTTTTATAGGTTTATTAAACCATTTTCACATATTTATAGGCAGCATTTATGGGTTATATTCTTCCCCTCCATTTCTAACTTGAAATACTACATTGTCTTAATTGATAGGTTTTCACGTAAACTGGAACTGTAAATCAGTGTAACTGTAGAACATGAGTATACCAGTAAGATTAGATGTGATTGAGAAGAGATGGTCTCGTATGTTAATTTAGAGGGTTTTGGATATAAATCTTTGGCTTGGACATCTTTCTCTTGATATGCTTTCATAACAGGTTTGATCTATTTAATTTTGTAGATTCTCCTAGTTACAGAACAGAACAAAACTTTAAGAATTTATGCCTCCTAAAATACTATGAACTTGTCTTTTATGCTAAATTTAAAAATCAGACTTGGTATGATCAGGGTGAGTGCATTCCATCTGTACATAGAAATGGTGTCATTAGTTTTATTTGTTATGTGTTGGTATTGCTTTTATTATTATTAAAAAAAAAGGCTAAGACACTAAGGGAAGAGACTATTTTCAAGGGTTTTTGCTTCTCCATTGGAGCAATGATAAAATGATTACCCAGCTTTCAGATTTTGAGATTTCAGTTTGGTCTACAACTAAGGATATAGAACATGTAGAGCATCTGTAAAATCCCTGTCATACATATAAAACAGTTTGGATGAATCCCTGAATGTTCTGATACTTATGATGAAATCAGTAAACATAATTGGAAGACAAGCGTAGGTCCTGAGTACGTTCCTGGTAAAACTCCTTGAAGCAAAACCACTCCTAACTTCAATTAGCGGACTTTTCAATTCGACCCTAAATTTTCAATTAGGAAATATACTTGCATTGATGTAAAAAGCCTATTTGATATATCCTGATCTGGCAAAGATCTAACTGCAGGATAGAAGCTTGTAGTTTGAGAGCTCAACAGAATATTTTTGGAGGAAGGTTTTCAGGAGAGATTTCAAGGCAGGTTAACAACACAAACACAGTCTGCTATTTAAACTGCAACTGCCTCACATAATAACAGTTAGTCTATTACCCTCTGAAATAGGAATTTCAGAGACATCAAATTTATACTACAATGTAGTCACTATTATATTGGAATCATTTAGCTGCTTTAACTTCTCTGTAACATACAAATTTGGAAAATTATGCTAATGATGTAAATACTATAGGTAGCATTAGTAAAAACAACAGATGAATCACAAATATCTTTCCAGGTGAGCAGAAATAGCTCTTTGACTACTGATGGGGATGGGTTTTCTAACTTCATTTCAGAAAATGGAGCATCATCAGTTCTATTTTTCCAAACTTAAGATACAGACAGAGCTTCCTGACTTGTATTACAATTATGTATGTTCTCAACTGCAGGTGCCACTGTTGTTTGTGACCCTGTTCTTTTGCACTGTAAAATACCTGTGCTGGTAGAAAGGCTGTTTTAATGTAAGGACAGCCATTACTACGGTTACAGTGAAGACAGATTTGATACTATTATTTTAATACACAGAAAATACTCCATCCCCAGGCAGGATTAGTATGATAATACCTGTGAAATAAAAATCTTTGTATTGTATGTATAATAATGATGAGCCATTTTCATATTCCACAATACTGGCAAATATGTTCATCATAAATTAAGGCAGTTGTTTAGGGCAGTGGCTGCCATCTGGCTATTAAACCACTGAATGGATACCACCTTAATTCACAAATTAATGGATTTTAGCTAAACTAGTCTAGTCTAACATTGAATATGCCCAATATATTTCTTATGTAGAATGTTGGCAAGGCTGATTCTTATGATCTTCCCTATACAAGACAGCACTTACGCATGAATTTAAATTTTAAATCTGTAGAACATCCAGGATATAAATTAAACTGAGATTACTTGCTTGCATATAAGTTTTCTGGAAACTATGGCTGAAATGAGAAGACATAAGATTTTGTCTTAACTTCACAGGCAATAAAATCTTGACAAACAAAATGATCTGTTTTTAAAAAATTGTGTTAGTTTATCTAACAGCCAACCTACATTTGTATGTACTTTACATCTTTTGGTCTAAATAAACTAAGCAAGGTAACAAGGTTACATATGCTGAAAATGTGATTACAGTAACTTTTAAACCTGTGTTCACCTGCTAGTGCTTGGAAATAATGTATTAGTATCTCCAGCTAGTGTAAATAAAGCTCTTGATTTTTGACAGAACTGTCTCCTGTATCAGTGGAGGCAGGCTTGTAACATTTAAAAATACTGATTGTGCAGGAAGCTGTAGCAACTTCACTTTGCTGTGAAGCATTTGATGTGGAACAAAAAAGAAAAAAGCATGCATACATACAGAAGAACCCAAAACCAAGCCTTCCTAACAGGAAACTAATTGGGACAGCAACTACTGCTTTAAGTTTTTGTTTTTTTCTTTAAGCAGCATGTATCTTAAGTGCAAGATTCACAATACTGCATGAAATGCTAGCTCTGTTTTTCTAAACAACCATCTAAAATTCAGTTATCTTAAGAACTTTAGTCTTGGACCCAGACAGAAACCAAGCAGTGAATACCAGCCTTTGAAAATGTGTATTCTGGATGGAACCACCTAAGGGACAGCACAGAATTATTTTGTGCAACAGACCTTATAGAGTATGTTCTTGTCAGGGAATGATGCAACTGTATAGGGATGCTTGAGAAGGAATTAGGGAAGAAAATTTTAGTAAAACAAATGTTTGCCTTATGAACAGTGCCTTGAGCAATGTTATGCCAGAGATGACAAACCCCCACTGAAGAGTACAGCTGCAAACCCCACAGTAAGAGATAAGTTTATTTGCTGTATAAAATAAAGCTCTTGCAACTGTCACTTCTGTCACTCAGCAAGGTTTTTTGTGAATACATATATTAAAACTCCCAGCTTTTAGCCACGTTTTGGGACAACCTTGAAGTTTTCTGTAAATCTGCAATTTGTGATATGATTAATATAGTGGAAGTTCATATTAGGATAATGTACAGTTATTGCTGAGTGAAACATTCTTAGTAATGTAATTAATAATGGCAGTAATGTAATTGTTAATTTCTTTATGTTACACAGATTATTTTGGTGCATAGTGTCTGTCAAATTAATTAACTCTTCAACAGGATTAAGTGTAAGATTTGGTATTTTCATATACTTTGAAGCAGTTTTGGGTACTTTTAAAGACTTTAAGGTAGTAGCTATTTTTATTTAGAAATGTAAGATTGACAAGTAAATTATATTTTCAAGAAATTACAAGTCATTCATTACCCCTTACTAGCAAATAATTGTGATTAAACCTGTAATTAATACAGTACAACTTTTCTCTTAAAAGTGACACACTTTCTCAATTTGATTTAATAGAATGTTGGCAGGGCTTGAAAGAGTGGTGCTGATAGTTTTCCCTGTTCTTTAAAGGATGGTACAGTAAACCCAAGAGCATACGTATGTCTTTTTTTTTCTTCTGGGATTGAAGTCAGGTAGATCACTCTGGCTGTGTTTTTTGATCCTTTCACAAAAGCATAATAAAATCAAAGAAATAAGGTTTTGCCTGTGATAGACTTTAATATGCATATTATAAGTACAGAGTGAACAGCAGGCTTATGTGTGTTTCAGCTTAGTAATTCATAATTAATTGTCATATTTGATCTTCAGTGATGGCCTCCATTCTTCTTTGGAGGAAACAGTGTATATTCAATGCCAAGAGCTATGACGAAAGCTGCAAATCCCCACTTGAGTCCCCTAGTAAAGACTTCTGTTAAGGTGGTAGGTTTTGCAAAGCCACCCATGTATCTCCAGGCTTCATTACTAGAAGAAAAATTAAACCAAAAGAATAAAACAAGATCAGTGGAACCACTGTAATAAACATTAACAGGAATATCTTTGTTCAGAAAAAAAAGATTATTTCAAGTAGATATACATTGAGATGGTAACATTTCTATAATTTAAGTAACAGGAGCTACCACAAGTAAAGTTCATGATAGCAACTCTACCCTTTTATGCATACTGAGATACAAGTAACAGCAGCAAACAACATAATTCTAGTAACAGAAACACCTCTCCAAACTTATGTATTTATTGTCTTCTATCATTTGAAACAAAATCAGAACCTACTAGCACATGCATGGGATGGAGTACCTGCAAAGACTAGTCACTGTGCTAGACAGTATCTAGCTGTTAAATCTTGAAAGGAAAAGTTTTTCCAACCATAGAAAACTCATCCTAGTGCAAAGGCACTTTGTGTTTCACAATATGACACTTAACTATATTAGGCTCAGAAAAGCCTACTGAAAGTGATTAAAAAAAAAGCTGAAAAGATTGTGTTTAGCTAAAAAGCTACACGGTATTTACAAACCTCATGTTGTTTTGCCTCACCCTTTTCAACCTACATTGTTATTGAAACATTAGTCACTGCTATAACTGAGTACCAGTATCTATGTGTAGCACAAATGTAATCTGTAGAAATGGACACAGTTTGTCTCTTCTAAGGACTCAAAGTCCTTAAGAAAAAACATCTGCACAGAAAAAAGCAATAAAATCAGAATGATAATTTCAGGAGAAGATACAGGTTTTTTTTAAACAAGGGGGTCAAATACTTATGTTCATAATCCCCTTGTGCAGGTGGTTTCTGTGACTCAGGATGAAGGCATATTGGAATGGAAGAGTGTCTTCTAGGTGCTGGTAGAGGGTACTAACTAACGAAGACTTAGGCTTCCAAATATAATGTCTTTCACACAGCTTATTCTGTACTGAATAATTATATACATTAATGTGCATTTGCTACAAAGGTGGAAAGCTGATCCCCTGTTAAAAGGAACTTAATATACCAAAGAGGGGAGCCTTAGAGTGAGTTACTTTTTCAAGACTTCTAATGCAAGATATTAATAAAGCAATCTTCTCCAGGTTACTAAAGCAAATAACTTTAATTTCTCCTTTACTAAGGAAGCTGGCATGATACTTACACTTGTCCTATGGAACTGAAATATTACCTTACATAAAATTTGAAAAGTTTGGGAGGAATCATCTCATGCTTTAAAGAGTTTGACTTTGTTCCTTATTTCAACTTCTGACATCCTTGTCTCAATCCCCTTCTCTTACCAGACAAACATTATTATTATTTTTTTAATCTAGGAGGGGCAACAAATATGACACAAGGTTTTTTACAGCTTGCTGTTTTGCAGCACTTCCTGAACTTAGAAGTGTATGCACTGAAAGTCAAGTTAATTTACACCAAATCTATGATGTTAAACTGTGTCCATTTTTTTAAATGGGAATAAGCTTATTGCTTGCTGAAAACAAAATTGTCTGAAGCAAAGGAAAAAAAAAAAAAAGGCAAATACTGCTTGCTACTCCACAGGAATAGAGGCAACATGAATGTGACACAGGCCTGGAAAGTTCATTGGTAACCAATACTCCTAAGGACTCATATCTCAAATTATTTTTATCACTGAAACGATGTTTTACTCTATGCTTACAGCCTTAAACTGTTCCAAAGGAAAAGTGTTATCAATCCCAAACCCCTCCAGAGGTTATAGCATGTAAGAACTTCTTAACAGATACCTGTTCTTACATTTTTCTTGTACTGAAGTAAAGCCTTTTCTATGATGGCTCCTGGAATAGTTCGCTCATGCAGCATTTCCCTTACAACACAAGGCATTTAGCATTTTTATTCCCCAAGATTAGAGTACTTGAGCAAAGTATTACCTAAGTCACAATGTGGGAGAAGTATGTTAAGCCCTGTTTTAACAGCTGCCTAAATGATCCAGAATTGCTCTAGCTAAAAAAAGAACAGGTATTCATTGTAGAGAGGAACAACTTCAGAGATTAAAATCTGCCATTATCTGCCATTTTGTCATTCACTTCTTACAAAACAAAATATACAGTTGAATCAAATTCCACGTTGTATACTAGCATATTTCTTCTTTTCAAATAAAGGCCTCCTGTTGTATATGAGGAATGATATTCCTACTTGGAACATCAATGCAAATTCCATCAACTTCAGCAAGATCTGACACACAATCTCTTTGCTGAGAAGGGATGGGCTTACTCACAGGTACAAGACCTAAGACTACTTACATGTTTTGGTGGATGAGGCATTGGTCATTGTACCTGGTCTGTATCATCATGAAACATCACAAAGTGCAAGGGTGCCTTGCAAAATGTGAAGACTGGTCAAGGTGATGCAAGATGTGACCTCCATGCAAAAAAGACTTAACTGAAATTCTGACTAATATATTCTAGATGCATTTTCACTAATTTTACTAAGGAAAGAATAATCTGTAATGACAAGGTCCAGTTGATGCTACAAGATGACACATCAAGATTATTTTTAAGGCTCTTGCACTTACCGAGCCCATGGATCTCTAAGACCTCGTTTAGCTAGCCTTTCCTGGACCTTCTCTAGTGGAGTACCTTCTATCTTCCACTGCCTGTAGTCCGGGAGTTCCATTTTGCTATGGCCATGGCCATGTTCATTTCCGTGCCCCATACCTACAAGAAAAGATATGAGCTTTTATTTTTCAGAGTTTATCAGCTTATTTACACACACTTGCAAAGAACAATGCCTGTACAAAAAAAACTGGGGAGGTTAAAAGAAGTATTCCAAAGCACCTAGCACTACACATGAAGCTTTGTACACAGTACACTGTAGAACAAAGAGCTAAGAGATTTTATGCTGCATTTTAGAAGTTGGTGATTAAACACAATAAGGCGAACTGTAGACTTTAGTGTTACTGTGTTCTAAGTCACCACCACCATTACATTCATGAAGCTACTATGTACATTTTCTGTGCCATAAAGTAGCATCAGAAGTAGTTGTGCCATAAAGTAGCATCAGAAAAACAACTGTTTCCAATGCACTTTAGCAACACCAACTTGCAGGCTTTCCAGAGTACATAAAAAAGCTCAAACTTCAGTTTAGAAATCTCTACTTTTAAGTATGCAGAACTACGATCACTAAGCTCTGAAGAAAAACATGAGAAAAACAAAGACTTTGTTACCTATCTCCTCTTGACTCCAATTCAGGCAAACATAACTGTGGCAATGAACAGGTACAGGATAGGTGAATGGACAAGGATTTGCACCTTACTAGTAATTTCAAAAGGCTGGAAAATCCATGCTTTATTTAGATACACCTTTGAGAGAACTATGAAGATCTTATGGTTCTCATTAAAAACAATGATCAAGGCAGATGGGAAGGTGAACATTTTCAGCAAGATCATGAAGGACTGGAAGAAAATAATGATGGCTTTGAAATCTCTTATTTTCACAAAGCACCTGAAATTTATTTGAGCCAGGATTTCCCATTTTAACACTTATCTGATAGCAAAGAACAGATTTTACCCTTAATTTTTAGGAGAATTGACTGGAATGCGATAGTGCCACGAATACAGTTACAGCCTGTAACTTTTGAAGACCCCAAGCCGTGGAGGCAAGCAAGGAAGATTCTCTTGCAGAGGGAAATCTGAAGAAGAGCTCTAATGCGGTTATTACCTGAAAAGCTCCGCCAAAATGAAATGTAGACTGGGGTCTACACCCTTACCATAAAATCCCAAGACCTCTCTCCTACCAATGCTTACCTTTCTACAGTGGTGTTTATGCGCACACGCACATTAGCGCCCACACGCCAGCGGGCTGCACTGCAGCACCAGCCGGGCACTCTCCGCCAGCAAAACCGGCAAAAACAGGGCCGAAGGGGCGCCCCGAGAGACGAGGGAGAGAGTAAGGGCTAGCACCGCGCCAGCGCCGAGGCCCGCTAGCCCGGGGGGGCGGCTGTCTCTCTAACGACCCGCGGAAAAAGGCCACGGCGGCTGCGCCAGGGCTCTCCGGCTCGGGGCACAACTTGGCGCAACGGACATCGCCGCTACCCCCTCCCCAGCCCACGCACAGAGACTCCCGGGGAAGGGGGGCGGACAACGGCACAGGCAAGTCCCAGATAGCGCCCGGGCCCGCGCCTCCCGCCGACGGGCCCTCAGTACCTGCCCGCTCCGTGACCCTCCTCAGGACGCAGCCGCCACCCGGAAGAGGAAGTCGGCGCCAGGACCGTTCGCTGCAGGAAGCGCAGCCAGCCACGAGGGTTCCGGGCAGCTCCGTTCCGGGTCCTCCCCCAGTGCTGGCGGAGGCCGCTGCCCAGCCCTCTGCTGCTCGAGGCACTCCCGTCGCCGTTTAACGAAGCAGGTCTCGCACACGGCGCGGCGCCACCGACTCCGGCGGAGGAGCTGAGGGGTAGACGGGGCGAAGGGAGACACAGATGAGAAAGCGGCCAATCGATGCGGGGCTTGTTGGGGGCGGGAGCGGTCCAATGGGCGGGTGCGTTGTTGAGCTGCGGGGTTGGCAGTGACTGGAGGTGGCGGTGGAGGAGAAGAGGGTGAGGGGGCGGCGGCAATGATAGCCGGTACCAGAGCCGGTGGGGGGGCGGAGGGGTGGCTGCGGGGCCTGGGCCGGCACTAGGACCAGAACCGGGACGGCAGCAGGGACCCCCCCGCCTTCCCCTCCCTTCGCTGGTTGGCCGTTGCCCACCGGTCGTCGCCGGGTGCGCGGGCAGGGACGGAAGCCCGCGGGGTCTGCGCGTGTGGGGGTGCGAGCCGTCCTCTCCCGCCGTGGCCAGCGCCGCTCGCTGGGGTGCGGGGCGCCGCGCTCGGCCTCCCCTTCCTCCTCCCCGCAGACGGCGACTCCCCAGACACCGCAGAGGACAGGCGGCGGGGAGCATCCCCCCATCCAGCGGTTATG